TGGGGTCACCCTCGCTGGTCTAAGAGAGTCTGGTTTCTCGTTTTCTCCAACGTGTGGCCTTGGAGTAATGCTAACCCTTTCGCCAGGTCCGGAAGACGATCCAGGAGCAGGAGACTTCTGGGTATTCTGAGAATCAGGACTTGGAGTGAACGTTCCGTGTGGTCCAGTGGCTCTGTTCGGTTGGTCGGAGGACGGTTCAAGCGAGGATGGGTGCTGATCTGGGATGAGTGGTCGTGGAGTCATACTGATCCCTCCACCTGATTTGGATGTAGGTCCAGGAGCATCTGTTTCATCAGCCTTCGTAAGGTCCGATTCCGGAGTCAAACTTACTTCGTCTTCAGGTTCTAAGGGCGATTTCGTGGGCGACGGCTTATGGATATCTTGTGTGTCCGGGGTTGGAGTAATCTTGTGCCCCTCATGTGTACCGGATGGAGATTCATCAGTGCTGGGTTTAGGTGTTCGCTTGGATCCTGGTACGCCTTCTGGGTGTACATGATCAGGATTCATTTCTCCATCGATCACAATCATAGGTCCAGCTGTTTGTTTTGGAGTCACATGAGCAGCTTCACCAGGTCCTGTGAATTCTGAAGACGGTACAGAGGTGACTGGCCGTGTTGAACTTGAAACAGTATCAACTCCCTCATGTGGTCCAGTGACTCGAGTAGATGCTAAAGAAGGCGTCTCCGATGTGGATGAGTGTTGGGCACTTGGGGATGGCCTTGAGGTTATCTCGGCCTTTTTCTGAGAACCACTGGGTTCAGTTGACGCTCTTGAACTGTCCGTGGAAGTGAGCGGTTGATGGACGGTTGGCATCATTCGGACTGAAGACTCATCGTCTTTCTCGTCAGGTTGTGCCACCTTTGGAGATGGTTCGGGTCTTGTGGTATCAGGTGGTTTACTCGATGAATGCTGACCGCCCGGTGGGTTCGGTTTTGAAGTCACGTTATCTGCTTCATCAGGCTTTGTGACATGCGACGATGGAGTACGATCTGAAGTAGTACGAACCTCCTGACCTGGTCCAGTAAATTGTACTGGCTTGTCCAGAGGACGGCTCTGTCGTGGCGGAATGCGGCACAGTCGGTGTTGGCCTCAAAGTGACAACAACTTCTTCTTCAGGTCTAGCAGATCCACTAGATGTTCGAGAAGAATGTACAGGTGTAATTGTTTGTTGGTGTGGAACAGTTGGCCGCGAGGTTACGTCGCCTTGACCAGGCATACTAACTTCGCCTAATGTGCCTTCAGGTGATCCTGGTGTGGATGACCTGCTAGCAGGGGATCTTGAAGTTGTCCTACCCTCATCAGCAGGTCCAGTGAACTGGATTGGTGCTTCAGAAGAGGGTGCAGGTGCATCTGTCTGGTGAACTTGTGGTTGGGTAGGTTTCGGGGTTACATTCTCTTTCCCATCAGGCTCTTGGATCGATGGCTGTGGAGTGCGACTGACCGGTTTCTGTACATTCACAGTTGAAGCAGAACCAATTTCCTCTCCCGGTTTCGTAACCCTGATGGCGAACCAAGGGTAGTTCGCTGCTTCTCCTGTGGAGGAGTGGGAGCTGAGGTGAAATCAACCTTTTCACGATGTCCAGTAGCCTCAGACGTTGAATCAGGAGGGGTAGACTGCTTAACTTCGGTAGTAGGTGTGCCCGGCTGCTCCGCTGAAGTGGGACTTGAAGTGACGTCAATCCTTTGCCCAGGTCCAGTGAATTGGATTGGTGCTTCAGAAGAGGAACCTGTTGTTTCCGGTTGCGGAACATTAGGTGTTGTTCTTGAAGTTACATCAGTCTCACCAACAGGTCTAGTGAAACCACTAGATGTTTCAGAAGAAACAACAGGTGTGCCTGTTTGCAGGTGCGGCACGGTCGACCCCGCGGTCAGGTCGCCTTCACCAGGCCCGCTTGTTCCAGCTGATGTTCTTTGAGGTGATTTGGGTGTGGGCGACAGAGTACTCGATGGTTGAGCTGTTCCAACCT